AACAAATATGCTTTACAAAATAACACTTTGTATTCGTTATATGGTCTGTCTCTTTTTTGGCATGTTTGTATGGGGGATTTTTTTATGCTAGCCACTTGATAAAACATTTTCGGATGTGGCACAATCAAAAGTTTGAATTTGAACTTGAATGACCAATTTCAGAATAATATACAGTATATTATATTATTGATTAGAATTATTGAACTTGAATGTTGCAGCTGGTAAAGAGGGAATTACTTGAACATGTGTATATGCTGCTGGGTAGCTTAATTTACATCACACTTTATTTGTTGATTATATTTTGTATTCATAATCTAAATCTGCAAAGTAAGAAACGTAAAAGTGTATAGTTGTGCCTAAAATGTAGTGTATTAGAAGAATGAAGGTGCTTCATATTGAATTAGAATTAGAATCGCTTTTATTGCCAAGTAGGTTTTCACAATTAGTCAAGTAAAGTACCTAAAGTACATTACTTGAGTAAATGTACTTTTAGAAGATAAAACACCATCAGATTAATGTCAGCTTCCAGTGTTTTGTGTACGAAATGATCATAAAGTATGTATTTTCCTTTCGTTCAGAATGAGCCCCTGTTTTGGGAAATTCTGTTAATTATTACTCAAAAGGAAATTATATTGATTGCTCAAATATATACTGCTGCTCATGTAGAGCAATGGTGCATATGAACAAAAAGTTGCTTGTTTAACCATATTATCCAACTTTCCCAATCCAGCTGAGCAACTCTCACACTGGAAATCGTTTGCCCGTTGTTAGCAAGCTTGATCCTAGTTTTGGTTTTTGTTTTGTCTATATAAGGCCACATCTGTGTCTGGACAGTGATATGACTGTAAGGACTGAGCCAAAGTAACCACAGTGCATTCATAACTGGTGTTGTTGGGTGCACCTTCAGCATACTGACGGCATTGTAAGTGCAGGGTTTTTACATTATATGACTACAGAAAGGCAGTAATGTCTCGTAAACTCATCCCTAATGAATTTGATCCGGGCAGATCCAGACACATCCAAATGCCATGGCTGCATAAATATAGGCTGCCTGTGGGCTGAAACTGGTGGTATTGTACACAGGTTAATGAACTTTCTCATGTCAGTGATCTTCTGTTAATGAGGATGATTTTCCCTCCTCAATATGACATATATGGCATATTTCCAGAGGGAACAACATCTGGAGAGTCTTGTTGCTGTTGACTGTGTTTTAAAAAAAATCTGTACTCTGTAACATAGATAAGAGAGCGACAAGATCAACTTGAGCTTCTCGGATACAGCCAGATGAGCTATCCGTCGAAAGTGCTGGGGAAGTCAAAGAACATGTTTGTCATAGTACTCCATGGCTTCTTGTGTAAGCTCACAAATACAGCTTGCGGTGCTCACCAGCAAGCTCAAATAAAGGAGAACAGGAAACATTTTATTGGGTTTCTAGTGAATATAAGCCATACAGTGCAATGAGACACGAGAAGGCTGCAGGTCAAATGCAACAGCACTGTGGGTTGACACTCAAAATGTAAACATGACTTTCCTATCAACTAACCCACAGCAGCACTTTTTTTAGGTGATACATTATTCAGAATCTGCTCCCCCAGAAAACAAATATGCTTTACAAAATACACTTTTTATGTCTATGGTTATATTTTATGTTTGTAATGGCGATTTTTTTTATGCTACCTTTCTATAAAAACATTTTACTGAATCAAAATTTGATTTGAACTGAACTGAACAGGAGGTACATTCAAAATACAAGACTCAACAATCTCCAAAAATAAAAATGAAAATTGTACACTAAGCACCAAAACTATTACCTAGAAAATTGTCTTGCAAGTTTCTGGCTGAAGTTATTATCTTCTATTTTCTGAATTTAGTGCAGACAGAGTGAACAGTACCCATAGTATGCTGAGTCAATTATGGACACTATAACTTGATAATGAAATGCTGCAGTGAAATTAGTTGGCTCGTAAAGGATTGATGCACCTTTCAAGTTCTCTCAGATTATTTACAGAACCCCCACACTGTCCTTGGTCTGGAGCCAGCAAACATTTGTTCAACGTGTAATCTTTAGGTTTACATTTGCGCAAAACAATTCTGATGCCAGCAGATACATTAGAGCAGTTATTTAGACAGTGAAATATTTGTGTTCTAAAATAAAATCAGTTTGAAGAGAAAAATGGTATGAATAAACCCAGGAATATATTTTTTGTTCTTGTAATGACCTGTAATTTTTTAAGTTAAGCTTTTTAAGTCTTTCAAATATGGATATGACACATGAAATAAGCCCCTGTGCTGCTTCAAATCAAAACATGCTTCACCACAACCCACAGCTGGTTATGCATAGAAACAGAGGGCGAGTGTAAGTAACAACACTGTAGTTTAACTTTAGTTGAAATCTTGACATGATGTGATGAACTATTACTAATAATGATAACAATAATAATATACTTTATTTATTCAAAACAAAGTTGCAAAGTACTTTATGTGAGCCAGGATTAAAACATAAACATTTAGGACTCCAATTAGGCAGATAAAGTCAATCAATACAAAAAATAATACACCTAACAACAAAAGAAGATAAAAACAGTAATAGGTAGGTGTAAAGATACATTGATACTGAAACATACTGGTAACCAGAGGCTAAAGCAATGACAGAGCTGCATGTGATAACACCACGATTTAATGACTTTTGTACAGTTTAAAAAAAAATAAAGTGTCACTGTCAAATATTACACTTTCTAAGGTTTCTGGTTGCAGATGTGAAATTTGTAGACAGTGCTATCTTTTGGAGATGCCATGACACAAGGAAGAACCCAAATGCAGAATCAGGAGAACGTAAGCAAAAATGCTGAAGTCAGAAACTGAAGCAGCAGGAAACAAAAGCTCCTGAGAGGCTGTAACTGCTTATACTAAGAACTAAGGACTAGAACAAGATATACAGCCCAAATCTGACTTGATCGACAGCTGTGACGTTCTGCCAGCAGCATGCAGGTACTGCTTCCAGAGAAATGCTAGAAAAACACTGAGAGAGAGAGAGAGAGAGAGAGAGAGAGAATAAAACTCATGCTCACGTAGCAACCTAACAAGGGTGGGACCATGACATGGCATAATATAACAGAATGGAAGAGTTCAACATACATAGGGAAATACATTAATTAGTTCACCTGAGCTTAGCTTAGTTTAGTTTAGATTACTTTAGTTTAGTTTAGTTTAGTTTAGTTTAGCTAACAAACACTAACAAAATCCTATCAGAACCTCGGAAGCTTGCGGCTTAAAATTCTACATCTCATTTGTTTATTCCCAAAATAAACAACGGAAATGTAAATTTGACGTCTTGGGTGGAGTCAATAAGTCAAACTAATTCTTGGCCAAGAACAGGGCCAGTGTGTGTGTGTGTGGAGGATTTGTTATGGTAACAACAAAAAGCCTGATAGAACATCTGTGCCTTTCAGAGATCCGTCTACTTTTTTATGTTACAATGTTGGCCTGCCACAAAAGAGGCGATTATCAAGGGTCTTTTAATTCTTAATAACTGCTGTTGTTTAGGGGGATGGGGAAGTGGGATGATGAAAAAACATTAATAAAAAGTAGAAAAAGGGGACATGTTGCACTTCTTGTAGACTGATAATAAAAAAAGCCTTGTCTGCATCAACAACAAAAAAAAAACATCACATGGGATCAGAAATGTTCTGCATTGAGCAATCCAAGTGCCAACTATCTGAAACGTAACACTGCCAGTAGACTTGATTAACAAAGGGAGGTGCTGCCAGGGCCCTTCAGTCATACCTAACAGAGAACTAAAAGTCTTTCTTTGGAGGGTGTTCCTTCCAACACTTCAACATGTTCAGACTTCTGAACTTCAGACTTCATGCCGTTCTAATAAGCTGAGCTAAAACCACTTATTTAGAAATATTGTGATTTAGAATATTAATACCAGCAGACCAGAGCCAGCAGTCTGATCTCTTGCTCTGTTTCACATAAAGTAAAAAAAAAGTTAGTTTCTTTTTTCAATATGAATTACACTTCCCTTTTTATTACTTAAAGTCTGTTCCACTAAAAGGTAATGCCACTGTCTGTTAAGAGCAATTTCACTCACACAAGAGAGGCTATTGTAATAATTGTTGTTTTATGGTAAAATCCTCATGAGTGGAATCTCTTTACTACCACTCTCTACTGCAAAGAAGGGATACAGTACACCACCTAGTGGTAAACAATATCTGTGTCACAATATTCATCCTATTAAAGTATATTATTAAAGTCATTTCTTACTCTGTTAAAAGGCAGATTACATGCATTTATGATGCTTTAGTGCATTTCAAACTTAATAAACTGAATTGTGTGTAACAACCTGAGACCATAAATACATATCCCCATAATATGTGCTCATAAATGGAAGTTATTGCAAAATACTGACACAGGAAATAAGTCCCTGTGCTGCTTCAAATCAAATGTTTCCTGTTCACTCTATTAATGTCCTTAACCACACACACACACAACACCACGAGGGTAAGTAACAGGACTGTAGTTTAACTTTAGTTGAAATCTTGACATGATGTGATGAACTATTAATAATAATGATAATGGCTTTATTTATTCAAAACAAAGTTACAAAATACTTTATGTAAACCAGGGTTAAAATATAAAAATGTAGGACTCCAATTAGACAGATAAAGTCAGTCAATACAAAAATAATATACCTAACAATAATATAAAATAAAATTGATAATAGTTATTATAAAATAAATAAGACCTGTTGGAAAAGCTGAGAGGACCTGATTGTAAAAACCCGGTCACCTTTAGTCTTGAGCCAGGACAGCCTGAGGATCTGAGGCTGTGCTCTGACTTATAGGGGAACTCAAGTTCAGCAATATAAGTGGAAGCAAAACCATAGAGTGCTTTAAAGGTAATCAGTAAATATTTACTGATACTGAAACGTACAAGTAACCAGAGGCTAAAACAATGACAGAGTCATATGATCTTCTCTTCTAGTAGTGTATATTATTATTATTATTATTATTATTGTATATATTAAAAGCAGAGCATCTTAAACCTAAATATGTCATATATTTTGCAATAATCTAACTAAGCTGAAAAAGAATGTATGACCTTTTCGAGATCAGGACGAGAAAAGACTTCAGTTGAGTCTCCTCAGTTGATGATAAACATGATTTAAAGACTTTTGTATAGTTTTTTAAAGATAAAGGGTCACTGTCAACTGTTACACATTGACGTTGACACATTGAGTAGTTCAGGCAGGCCACAAAGTCAGGCTCGGCTCTCAAATCCAGCTATATCATAGGCACGTGGAAGGGCAAGAAGGTCCCAGAACAGAGCCGTACCGCCGAATGTAATATACTGCTTTGGAATAAAAGACATTTTGACAAAAGTGGTCCTGACTGAAATAGGTTTCTAGTTGCAGATTTAAAATTTGATGTTAACATGTTGTTGTAAAATTGGGAAAGACTTTGGAGGCCCAAACAGAAACAGTGAATGACTTCAGTTATCATGTTACCAGTTGGATACTGGTTTTGGGTCGTCCAGCATATTTCTGATAGACAAGACAATAATTGCCTCATTCACTGGTTTTAATGGAACATAAACATGTGATGTGTCCCAGTGGAAACAGGGGCCAAGGATGGAGCCTTGACGAGATCAGATGGGCCACAGAAGAGTAAGCTTCTCAAAAGAAAGCTTAAAAAGTTTGATAAATAAGAATTTAACCTGTCTGGAGAATAAAATAATCAAGTGTGTCACAGGATCAGCTGAGATTGAGACAAATTTAAACTGAACAATCACCAGCGTCAGATTGTTACAGCAGTTTCGGTGATAGGACATGAATGGAAGCCTGATGGAAATTTATTGAAGATATAGATTTTATAGATTTTTGGTGGCAAGAATAAATCATCTTCTAAGTAAACCCTCAACTTACAATAAATCTGGTCATTTGGAAAAGGGTCTAACATTTTTTAAATTCAGAGGGTTAAGGCTTTGTTTCTTGAGAAGCATTACTGTGTGCTTAAGGGTGGCGGTAACACAGCCAGTGGACAGAGCCTTTACCCATGAGGTGAGGCAGCAAGGCTGACAGGAACCAGATTATTAACATGTGTGGTGGCATTTATGGAAGTGGAGGTTGGTCAGTAGCAGCATCCAGTGTTTGCCATTCAGAGTACTTCCTCACAGTCTTTAATTACTACTGATAGTGATCACAGCAATCTTCATTGAAGCTTCCATCTTTCTTCTTTATACTTCCAGCGGGATTGAAGTTGCAGCTGGGTCATACTTTCACATCACGTCTTTTTTGAGCTGTTTATCTACTGCTAGAGCTGTCCATGCTGCAATCAAGTGTCTTTTCATTTTTAACCAGGTCTTCCAGGTCTGGAGAAAAAAACAAAAAAAAAACAAGCAGAGATTATTATGGTTGTCTTGCCCTCCAAAAACTGTGGAATCATTTGAACTGTTGATTGAAAACAGATATAATTTTAAACTTGGTAATAAGAGCAGGCTCAAAAAAGAACACATTTTTTTCCATCACTCACACTTGAGCACACTCCTGTTGAGGCGAGTATAACCTTGGTCACGGTTATGACTCAGGTCTATGTAGAAGTAGAACTTCAGTTCCTGAGGATACTGAGAGCGGGGCAGGTTCTGAATCAGGGGAATAAGCCGACTAGACATAGGCCCCTCTGCCAGAGCCTGGTGCATCATATACATACACCAGTCATCCTGCAGGAAATTAGGTGTGATAAACAAGGCCCATAAGTGGCTGTTCTGCACAGCCTGGCATAACTCTGTGGAAATTGCACCTCCTGGACAGTCGTCCCTCTGTCGGAGAAAGCACCTAAGGCTACGGGGTGAGGCCTCGAGGAAAGAGACCAGGCGTCCAGCCTCTTCAATGTCACTGCCCACAGAGCTGTGGCACACAAACACGTCATACTTTCGGCCCCATCGCTGCGGTGAGCTCAGAGCAGACTGGGACTGTAGTGTTTTAAAAGGGGTTGTCCCTGGTGATGATGGTGACAAAGAACAGAATGACGATGCAGATGAAGGTGAAGCTGATACTGAAGACACTGACTTTTGTGTCACCTTTGCCTCTTGTTCATGTTGTGCTGATGAAGACTCTCTTGATTTCAAGAGTTTCTGGAACCAACCTAAAAGAAAGAAATTTTGCACATTTCTGTCATAAAGCTAAGCATGAATATATATAGAGAGCACAATCACAACAATTTACAGATATTCCACAAAAGTGTAATGATTTTCTGACAAGGGAAAAAGAGTGTGGAATTATACATTAGTTAATGAAGAAAGTTTGTATTAGAAATAAAGATGACTGAATCCTTAACTCACTATGCATGTTGTAAGCATCATCATATTTGTTCAATGCCACGCCAAAATCCTTCTCCGTAAGGCTTTTCTCTCCCCGATACATAGTCTACATTACTCCGACACTGTAGCTAAACAAACAACTGTTGCAACATAATCCACTGGCAGTAACCGAATGTAGCAGAGACAATGTGAAAAGTTTGTCGAGTGTGGTTGACATCACCAGAAAAAAGAGGAAGTTAACTGTTGAAACCGCCTCAACATGTGCAGTCAAATTTAAAATGCAAAGCCTTTCAAGTTGTATACTTGACTGAGCAGTTAGATGACCCTTTGTTTAAAGCATTTGTGTGGACAGGTATATCAAATTCAATGTAGCTCAGCACAACCACTGATGTGCCAGAAGCTTCACATTTCTAAGCCAAGCAATGAGACTGTTGCAATTTATTGTGTTTTTTATACAAATGGCTTATTTTATGTATTTCATATTTATGTGTTGTGACTCTTTTCATTATCTTGACCAAGTTATTTATTTCTGTTGTGTAGAAAAGCTTACAAATCCTGTCATACAAACATAAGACATTTGCAAGTACAAATCATATGTAAAGCTGAAAGTTTTCTTATGTGTAAGATAGGATAAACCTACTTTGTAGCTAAATTCTAGAAAATAATGTTGTATAGTGATCTATGCATTTGCAGCTCCCCCCTGAAGGAAAAATTAAAAGTTTAATTTGTGCCCAGCCCAATAGAGTGACAAGCTAAATTAAAGCTACAGAAGTATTTTTGTATATGGGGAAGTCAGTACATTCATTTCATGGAATGGCTTTATTGCTATAGTTAACCGGTTGGTGAAGCAAACAGTTATAGAATTATGCTTTCATTTTCACTTTTCTTTTTTTCAGGATCAGGTGGAATATGAAAAGAATTACAAATAAAAATGGCCCCTGTCTACAAAGAAAGTGCAAAGCCTAACTGTGGATTATTATTGTCGATGCCCTCTATTTTATTTGAATCTAGGCCTGCACTCTATATGTTATGTAGTTTAATCTATGGATTAAATGTCATTAATTGATTAAATATGTTCGACCTACATTGTAAAGTACCTGCCTCAGCTGGCAGATAAATGTAGTGGACAGAAGGTAGGCAAACATTTCCCAAGTTTAAAATCCGGTTGCACATGCGCGATCAAAAAAAAAAAAAAAAAAA